CAGTTTAAGATCATGCCCAAGACGATTGAGGCCTCCTCCTTCCCCAGAGCCTCACCCTTTACCTCCAAGGTGTTCCAGGAGCAGCTCAGCCTGATGTTGGTTCCTTGGCTGCTCCACCCAGACTGCTGCCTTTCTGGCCTAAGTTTGAAAATGGCCACCACAATCAGCCAGCTGGCAGCTGCCTGCTCTAGCCCTTAAGGTGATGGAGCACTAAGGCTGTTCTGTCACAATCCCCTGCAACCCCCACCCTCACCAGGCTGGTGGGCTTGTCTTAGCCCAAGCTGTCTGCTCCAGCCGACCAGGGAGGTGTGCTCTAATGCCCCCCAGCTTCTGGCCTGAGCCACCACAGGTATGTGGCTGCATTTCCAGAATGCAGTTTAGACTAACCTGTGAAGACTGATTTGATTCAGCCTCAGGCTTTTTGACTTTCTGTACTTAGCCCACAAGGGTCAAGAAAATCAATCCCACTGAGCTTTGAATGGAATAGGAAAATCTCTTCCTATCCAGACTTGTAGTCACTGTTTTTAGTGTTGGGAAAACTTTTAGATAAAGAATTGTTCTTAGTAAGAAATTAGGGTTACAAACCAAATAATTTTAAAAGTCCATAGTTAGCTAACTCTACCTTAGTCTCAAAAATATTTCAGGCCTGCTTTTTTCACAAGCCAGTGTATGAAGATCTATACTAAATCTTATAGTAATTACTAAAAAGAAATATTACTTGAAAGAGACTATAAATAACAGTGCAGTATTATTACAGCTTCTGCTTTATAGTCATTATCATCTCATTGCAGATATCTTCATTGTATAGCAATTTTTCAAATTCGCTTTCCTTTTGAAAAGTTGCATCTTTTCTGTGAATAAATACTTCCCCTTTCTTGTAATGTCTTGGCAATTTATTTCTTGACTTGTTTACCAATACAGCAAACTTGTCAGGATTTTAAAACTAATGTGAAGGGAATACTCTGTTCATACAAGCACAGTTCTGGAAACCCATAGTACCATGGCTCAGACGTTACACAGAAAAGCAGAAATTGTTAGAGGCAAGCAGACAGAGAACAAAATGTTCAGCAGCCTTTTTCTCCCCTGAACGCAGCAGACTACATAAAGCTCATAAGAGCAGGGTCCTTCTGTTTCATGATTCTGGGACTGCAGAATTTGTCATCAGATCCCTTGCCTCAGGTATGTTGTCTAGAATCTAAGGTTTCACTAAAAAATGTAACCAACTAACCAAAAATCCCTGTTTTCAATCTTCATTGGCCTTTTTAAGTTTTTTTCTTTAACTATTCCACTGTTGCTCTACTATTAAGCAGTTTCTACAGGTGGTAGCAGTGTGTAAGAGCTCTATGTGGATCAGCTGCCAGTGTTCACACCATTGTATTGTCTAACTTTACTGGCTGGAATTGATGAAAGCTAAAGATTATTTCAGGGACAATGTAATTCCTGGGGTTTCACCCTGGTGACCTAAAGAAAAGTATAGGGATTTTCGACAAAAGGCATTATTAGATCTTTATTGTCCATGAAAAAAATTCTAAAAAACACCTTGGATGTATTAATCTGCACACAAAAGTACACCCCTTCCTGAGTTTGCAATGCCTGTCAGAGGTTATATTGTAGAATCCATATTTCAAAGATTCATAAATAAAGTGTAACACTTACAAAAACTTCTCAGAGATGAGCCTATGAACTTCACTTCATCAACCTCCTGGATACAAAATATCATGGTCTAAATATAGACATTGGATTTATGACACATTATAACCTGCCTGACATCTGACTTCCCAGATACCTCTCCACTATTTATCCCCCTTCTCTCCCCCCAACCCAGCTTGTGTCTCACCCACTGACTCCTCAATTTACATCTTCACTGACTGCCTGTCTTGCATGCATACTAGCCCAGCCTCTGGCTTTTTCACTTTTCATTCCATCCAGGAAGAGCATACACTAACTGCAGAGACTTCCTCAGTCTGACAAAGAGTTTTTAACCCGAAAGCTTGCTAAAATTTTTTTCCAACTATTTAAGTTGGTCTAATAAAAGATATCAGATTCACCCAAAGAACCTTGTCTGCCTATGTCCTTAGACCAACATGACTATAGCCTACACCTCTGCAATATTTATTCTGGAATATTCAGCCTGCAGTACAAATAAATAGTGGTAAACTGTGTCTCATAGCAAAATCAGTACATTTTCTCAGTAATATCAACAAATATCAACCTCTCTTATCTAACAGGGACTCCACATGCAAAGAGAAACATTCTCCCCCCCCCCCCCCCC